TCGGCCCTGAGCGCATACTCCTAATTATAAACAAGCTGACGCACTTGCATCTACCAGAGTACGCTAGAAGCCGTGACTCGGAAGGCTGCCAGCTGACGGAATAACTCGGTCTTTATCTCAGAATGGTCTTTTTGGCACTCCCACTCGATAGGATGTGAGCCGCCTCCCTTTTCTTGTTATCTGAAATCCTGATCCTTTGTGCGCCGACCAGGAGCACGCCTAGGTGCAGGTTCACGCTGTGCAAGCCACCTGTGCCCAGTCCTGCTCCGGTTTTATTAAATCTTTCCTGAAATTGGACTCAGGTGGATGGGGAAGGCGAGAGTGTGGTAAATGTGTCGCAACTCTTATCACTGTCAACTAGCACACCCACAAGTCATCGTCCCTGTGCCCATCATGCTGTAAGGCACACGGTTGCTCTTGTCAGAATCGACGGTCGAACTGTCCTTGTTGACGATATCTGTCCCTTTCCTTCCTGGAACAAGGGCTTTGTCTATGTGATAATTGATCCTTTGCCATCCTGCTCCCTAACGTCTGCTTCTTTCCATTTCAGTTCTATCACCAAAAGCTGGAGGGTTGGCGAGAGGACCTGAACAATCTGATGACATCTCAACGTGAGAGGTTTGAAAGACTCAATAGAAGTAACCAAAGGCGTGGCAGCCGTCTACTCTCCGGTCACTCCTCACTCAACTTTGTCTCCGATTGGCTCGATATGCTTCTACTGAGGTGCGTCCGAAACTTCCTTTGGCTCTCTGATTTTGTAGAGACCACGACAAACTCGTAGATAAGGTGGTGATCTCGTCACTGGATAACTACACGCACGGACGGCGTTTTATTAATGAGGAGTCAGTTGGCACTGGGGGATTTATTGGAACACTTGATTGGTCCTCCTGTCCAATCAGTTGGTTTGAGATCTGTTACGACCCGCTCCTGGTACTTGCAATTAGCACGAACTCTGAGCTAGCCCGACTGTTGTCCCCAAGGCCCAGTACGAGAGAACAAGGGAAGTGTATTCACACAAAGCAATCACTGTAAGTGACTGCACAAAAGGCTGCGTACCTTTTATGCGGCCCGCTTGATGCGGAAGCGTGGGCGACAATGGACCAATCAGCTATGACGAAAAATCGATAGCTGGATGCGTGCCCTCATTGCCGCGATGTGACAGCTGTGCTCGGACGCTTTTCTGTGCTGTGACTCATCATGGGAATGGATGCAATCCCAACAGGATCAAATAAAGTTTGATCTTCGAATGGAGAAAATTAATCCCTCGGGTCGAATAGCACTGGCTGGTGTGTCCACAGACTGCACGACCGTTACTCTTCAGATTATCATATAGGTATCTAATTGGTTCCACTTGGGGAGCGGACCACCGCCGCCACCACCAGCAACAGTCTCTCCTTAGGATCGAGAGGAAGACGACTCGATCGCTGGGACAATACTTTTATTTGCCTGACGTTTCGAGATCCGCCTCGGATTCGTCATCCGAGGATTGCCTGTCTGCCGTATACGAAGCCACGGGCTGTAAAATCAGGTATATTATTCACGTGTCTTAGACGCAGCCCAGGCGCGAATAATCGAATCCACATGTAATTTGCTTCAATCGTCGGTGAGCGAGAGAGTGTTACTCCTAGACCACTTTACGCTGTCTTTTTAATTTGGCTTTTCATCCACCAAGACCGGATTTGGTCGGCATTTGGAAATTTTATAGCCCGACCAGTAGGCCGAAGAAGGCAACAGAGCGGTTCTGGTGGCAATGGCTTTATTCAAAACCACACAAAGACAGCCGGATTTGCGGGGTTCTTTAGCTTGTCCACACCGGCTTATTTATAGGTTCTAGTCTTTCTGGAATATTCGTGGTGTATGGCGTGCGAGCGGGCGGGCATTCTGGTAACTTCTAGACTGCGGTCACCTACCACGCTGTGTGGGCAGTCGTCACTTTTGCCCGAAGCACGGCGTGGGCGGTTTGACCCAGCTGGCTTGCTCTTTTCACCAACGGCTGTGACTGCACGAGGGGTCCCGTCTCCGCAACCAGAAACCTCATAAGTCACGAATTTGAGTCGCCACGTGTTTCATTCTAACATGCGCCTTATCTAAACTTTGCCTTTAGGCGAACCGCGGTGGAACGCGAACTCAACTGTCAGTTGCGTTGGCTTGACTTGATGAACCTAGCGGAGCACGATGCGCGAGTTCAGTTGCGAGAGACGGCCGAGCTGGCGGGACCGGCCCTCAAGGAATCACACAGACTCATTTTTGACCTCCTGTGCAGACAGAGAAAATCCCAACAGCAGACCATGAGGGGC